ATGGAGTATTGAAGATTTCGCGTGATGAATTGATTATTGCAAAAGGGTCTAAAATATGTGTTCTATATATTTTAGAAGGTTCAAATATTGTTAATTTATCATTAACTAGTGGAGGCTTTCATGACAATGAAGAACTATGAGATTTGACTTTAAGGTGTTATGAATCCCTTGAGGAAGTTTCCAAGGAGTATAATGAATTTTGCAGAAATAAAAGGATAAAAATGCATGTTTTCACTGAGTTGTTATTGAGTTTTTGCGGAAGATATGATGATAAAAATAACTTAATTGGTTGGTAGAGAATTTCTTGAGAGGGAGAATAGTGAAAACCAAAGGAGAAATCTGAGAGAAACTATAACGGAGAAAACTCAATTTGAGGTGGAGTTTCCTATTATGGATACTAGTAGTAGTGAGGGAACAGTTACAGAAATCTCTGATTATCATTTTACTCATGATAAAGTAAGTAGGATCATTATAGAATTTCAAAGGGACGATTATAATAGCCTTGAATATTATGTTTTTAATGTGGCTGAAGAACTGCAAGACAAAGGAAGAAAAACCTTTATGGAGGTATTTGAAAACAAGTTGTGTCAAGAGTGGTTGAAAAATCACACTTGTATGGTTGTTAAATTACCTAAGCTAAAAAGGATAATTGGAAACAAGTGGATGCAAGTGGCGAGATCAAGATTCAAGGGTTACTTGAATTTGATCAAGGTTATTAATTAGAGTTTCAACCTGGTAGAGAAACAATATTGTTGGTGGTTAAATTGGTATCAATACGGTTTAAAGTCAAGGTGGAGATTATTGTAATATACTTAAAACCTTTGTTGATGAAGAGAAAGAAAACATATTTCGAGATTGCCCAAAATCAGAAAGACAAAAAGCAGCAACAATTTCGAGTTTGACCGATTTGCGTTATTTAAGGTTAGAATATTGGATATATATTAATTTAGAAATTGTATAAATTAAAATATAATATATTATAATATATTTATAATATTTTATTCTAATAATTAATGAGTTGTGTTTTTGGGCTTGAGTTTTTGCTATTATAAGTTTGTATCTCTTTATTGTGTTTAAAGTGTGACAATCATAGATTTTTTAGCAACAAGGATGAGCAAGGGTTTAAAGGCATAACATATGGTTTTTACTATTCTCAAGGGAAATCTTAGAAAGACAAGTGCCTTGAAAACCTTTGGAGTTATCTAAGGTTATTGAGAATTGGGAAACACTTGTTTACACCTTGGGTTTGAGTTATTCATATATTGAAGTATGAAGAGATTAGGAAACACTTGGGAAGAAAATATGGTAATTCTTAGGCGCCTTCAGGGTTGGTCTTGGGAACCTAAAGGCGAAGGCAATTTTCTTGTAACTCATCTATAATCTATTGTAACAATTTTATGAGTATAGTGAACTGAAGAGATGCTCTCTCCCCTAGAGTAGATCGTTTGAACGAACTGGGTAAACAAACCATCATCTTTTTTCCTTATTCTGTTATATTATATGTGTACACATTATTATTGTTGGACATTTTATTTTTGTTCCTACTATTCTTTTCCTCACAAATTGATATTGAATTTTTTCGTAATTAACAACAATATTCACAACAATATACAATCTAATAAATTACAACAGTGCAAAGGACAAAACAGAGGATAAAAATAACTGAGCAACAAAAATTGATCATCAGAAATTCATACCTATCTAAATAATGTTAAAAAACAATCTCCCACAACTTCAGAGAGTGAGAAACAAGGAGAATGAAATCAATAGAAACTTCGTAGCTTATTATTGAAAAACACCAACACAAGTAGGGAAATGGGTGAATGTAAAAAATAGAAAAGAAAGAGAAAACAACCTAGAGATCTGAGAGTTGAATCTTTTACGAGTTGAATCCTGACCAAAACAACAAACAAAAATCACAGATTTGAGTGAAACTTAAAAAAAAATTATAAAGTTGTTTGAATCGAAAAAAGAACACACCCATAAGTTAAAAATCGAAACTTTAAAGGATTTTAAGCATGCCATTCTTACCTTTGAAGAATTTTGGTGAGTTCCACCTTTAAAATCTATGGCTTGAGCGGTTTCAAGTCCTAACGAATCAAAACAGCAAATCACCCAACATTGAATCTTTGACCAAGTGGTGTTGGTGCGAGATTGGGAGAAATAGAGAAGAAAAACTAGATAGTAAAGTAACGAATTGGAGAACAAGAGAAAGAAGCCGAATAATGGAGTTAGAGTTTGATGTTTAATAAAATGAAACCACTTATTTTGTATTTAAAGTTTACATTTTAAATTAATATGAAATAAACTAATTCGATGTCATCAAACCTATTACCAAACAGAGTGCCGTGCATGCATAATTTAATGGAAGTTCATAAAATTTAACACACACCACTAAAATAGATAACATAAGTACATTTAAAAGACTTAAAATAAACGTTTATTAAATAAGGGACTAAAGTGAAACCTGAAATTAAATTAAGGGATTGAAGAATAAAGTTCATGTGCCATTTTAAATCAATCACATTAAATCAAACATTACATACAAAACTCAGTGAGAAACAATAGCTATACTATTGTAAAGGGAGTTTCCAACTTAAAAGTAAACAAGATTAACAAGAGGTGGTTATTCAAAAATTCATATATAGTTTACTAAAAATTCTACCATAAAATCTGCACATTGGTTATCTTTTTTATAAGTGTGGAAAATTTAAACTCTCGAATCTCTACAGACAATTTTTTTATAGTAATAAATATATTTGTAAGCTTAAGATAGCAAGCCTTGAATCACATAGAAGCCTATAACTCTTATCTAAGTAACCAAAATTTCGAACAAGGATTGATTCATTCATCGTTGCTATTTTAACGAAAGCATAATAAATCTATAAGAAAAAAGAGTTGTGGTTTATTGTTGCTTAGTGAAAATGGCCCACATATATCTTGCATGTTAATGAATTATTATGTTTTAAATTGTTAAATTTTTGTGTGAAAATTATAAATATTTACTCTTTAATAAAATCTCAAATTTGATTAGAATGTCTAAATCTATTAAAATTAAAGAGAAGTCGAATAAAAATTGACATTCTTATAATTAATATTTAAAATGGAATGAAATAATATATTAAAGTCGATTAAGTAAAAACAATTAGTATAGTATAAAATAAGACACTTTAACGACAGTTTACCTAAAAAGATTTTTTTAAAATTTTTAATTCTTTCTTTAACAACATTATTGATATGTTCTTCAAATTTATTAACGCTATATTAATTAAATTATTGACATGCTCTTTAAATTTATTAAAGCTATAAGTTTTGAAGTAAGACATTATTGACATGCTCTTCAAATTTATTAAAGCTATATTGAGTAAATTATTATGGTTTTCTTGATGGAAAATATCGCTTACAAATGGAGTGAAGCTAAGTGAAATATTAAAAAATTCTTTTAATGGATCCTTTAAATCATAGATTAAGCAATTATATTTTGTAGCTCAAATTCATTATTCAATAAAACTAGAAAATAATATTTTGTAGTCTAAAATCATTGAATTTATTGATTCGATTGAATTTAATTTTTTTTGATGAGTTTATTCACGCGCACAATACGATATGCTCAATACCTAAAAGGTTACGTAGATATATATGTACACCAAATTTTTAATACAAAATTTAAAAAATTTCAAATAAGGATTCATGTGAATGATATAAATTAACCCTAAACTTCAACATTTTAAAGTGTCACTACGCCAAAAATGATTTTTTGTATCACCTAATTTAATAGCACTTTAAAAAAAAATGCTATTAAAATGGAAAAAAACACATTTATAATAGCACTTTTTAATCGGGCGCTATTATATAATACAGACTATGTAATTATGATAGCACTTTGTACCAGAACGCTATTATTAAACTTTTTTAAGATAACATTTTGTATAAAACGCTATTATTTGACTACCTATATAATAGCATTTATTAAAAAGCGCTATGTTATATATAATAATGAATTAATTAATTAATTGATAAAAAAAAAAACACATTTTCAGAAAATTGGGTTTCCCGCATCCACTCACCGCCAAAAACAAAAACACTACCATTGATTCTCCCAAAAACATTATCTTCCTCAGCTTCCTTCTTAGCCATTGATTCTCCCAACTGATTCACCGCCGTCAAATCTTCCTCTGCTTCCTTCGGTTTTCATTGATTCACCGCCGTCAAATCTTCCTCTGCTTCCTTCGGTTTTCAAATCTTCCTCTCAATCAAACTGTAATTTACATTCAGGTATTGTTTCTTTCCCATTCAATTTCATCTCAACATTGATTCATCATCACCCACTCTAACTACTTTACTTTATTACATTAATTAGGGTTTCGTTCTCAAAGTTTCCTGTTATTACAAAACCCTTCAACAGTTAGCAAGAACGAAACCCAAGGGATTTTGAAGGTTGGCTGTTACTTGTTAGAGGAAAGATCTAAAAGTTCATTTCAATTTTTCCATTTCTTTGGTTTGAGGTAAGAATTCTTACTCATTTTTCTTAGTTTTAGATATTGCATATTAACTGTTTGTGAAATGTTCTACATGATTGTTCCTAATTAAGTTTATATTTCAGCTTAAGTGCTTAACAGGACAGATAGATTGCATATAGATTACATGTGGTTTTCACATAATGAAGTCATTGAGTAGTTTATAATTTGGTATTTTAACCAAGTAGTATGTAAAGTAAAATATGTTGAATTCTTTTTTCAAAAAATATATTTAAATTATTATAGTATGTACATTTGGGATTGGTGTTTCCTTTTGTGCAATAGATTCATCTATATTCAATTATTCACAGTTTCATTTCAATAACTAGGGATTTTTTTACATGGATTTTGTGCTATTCAGTTTATTAAGTACTATCCTATAAAGGGATTTTATGTTAACAATTTGAAGGTTTGTTGTACGAGTAAGCTGAAACTCCTGTTTGAATGGTGAATATTTAAGATCTTTGTTAAAATTTCTGGTTGATGATGGCTTGCTCAGAACCTGTGAGTTCAGTGGTAGAGAATATGTCAGTGGCTACTGCACCCAGGAAGCCTCGGATTTTACTTGCTACTAGTGGGAGTGTTGCTGCGGTTAAATTTGCAAATCTTTGTCATTGTTTTTGTGAATGGGCCGAAGTAAGAGCAGTTGCCACAAATCCATCTTTGCATTTTATTGACAGAACAACGATTCCCAAGGATGTGATTTTGTATACCGACAATGATGAATGGTCTAGTTGGAAGAAACTAGGCGATAGCGTGCTTCACATTGAGCTTCGCAAATGGGCTGATATCATGGTCATTGCTCCATTATCGGCAAACACTCTTGGCAAGGTAATTGATCACCATTTTTTTTTTACAATTTTTAAAAACAGATCTAACACTTTCATAAGTCTTGAAAATAAAAACAGATGGCGTTTTTAGAAATTAAACCAGCTCTAAAAGACTTTCCAATTTCTACGGTTCCAACATATTTGCGCGATGATGCGTTCCTATCAATTATATGATGTTCAGTTTTTGTTTGTACGTCTTATATAGGGTGTACATGCATGTTTCTATTATTCTTAAAAATTTGACAATTGCCACTTTATTGGTTCCTATAACTTAAATATATGCTGTTATAGATTGCTGGAGGGTTGTGTGACAATCTAATGACATGTATTGTGAGAGCCTGGGACTACAGCAAGCCATTCTTTGTTGCACCTGCCATGAACAGCATATATTTAAGTGCATCTATTATCACTGTATTTTTGGTGAGGAGTTTTTAGAGCAACTACGTGTAGAGAGGATAAAGGAGATTCTTGATCACAATTGGTTAAGTGCATCTATTATCACTGTATTTTCCAGGTACCTCTATTATTACAAATATTCTCTTATTTGACAAATATATTATTAATATTAATGTTATTTGTATTGTTGACTAATATTCACATTGGTGACAAATATATTAATATCAATTGTTGTTCATTTCTAGGTATTTGTATGACAAGTTTATTAGTCCAAATGGATTAATAAATAAGTCCAATTGTTGTTCATTTCTAGATACTTGATAAACAAGACAAATATTACTCATGGATTTAGAGTTCAAATGTTTTGACTTAGATGTTTAATTTTAATTTTTGAGTTGGATTTAGAGTTGTCGTATAAATGATTTTAGTATTTTATTGGTTTAGAAGATATGGCACAGAGGTACTGAGTGTTCTTTCTTGGTCTCGAATTTAAATTTTGAAATAGGAAAATACGGAAAAATGACTTATATCTTATTGTATGATTGATTTATAGTTTTCCGTTTCTACTTGAAATTTTTAGATATTCGTAGTAACAATTGTAAGGTGTTAGATATCTAGTTCTGGATCATGAAAAGAAAGTTACACACAATTAAGTGTTTATGTATATTTTGAGAATTTGAATTATATTCTGTTTAGTATTTATATGCATCTAATAATGGAAATTGTGGTCTATATATTTACAAGTCATGTTCTTGTTAGACTTAATTAGTTCAATTATTGCATTAGTTATATCGATTTATTGTTATTAGTTTATAATAATCATTCCTTATTTTATGCGCTTCTTGTTAGACCCATATTAAATGTTTGATTATTCTTTATATGTTGAATTAGTTTTTATTGTACAATACATAATCAATATTCCTTCTATGATACAGGAAAACAAGAAGCAATTATTTTGCCTAATTAGTGATTGTATCTATGAGTTCAACGCTTTTGGATCATGAAGGTGGTTACTACATGAGATTGTTTTGTTATCCTTTCTTATTTTTTTGGTGTTTTGTTTAGAGAATTTGATTGTATGTTTTTGGATTTGGATTGAAGTACTCATAGATGGGCATCTACAAATTTGGCTATGCAAACGCCCTCTTAATATTCTATATGTTATGATATTTGGAAACAATAGGATTTGGTAATTTAAAATGTTATTTGGTATTTGATGGATCATAATATATATGCAATGAGTAACTTAAAGCGTTATTTGTGTGGAATTGAATATAGTTATTTTATATTTACACCAAAAAAAATGATTGTGTAAGAAAAAATATTGTACTGTACTTATTAAAAATATTGTACCAAATATGTACCATTTATTAGCACTTTATTTGAAAGCGCTATCAAACATATGTTATATATTAGCGCTTTTTGTTTAGAGTGCTATAAAAAAACAAACAAAAAACATGCAAAATACTGACTTTGATAGCACTTTAATTAAAACGCTATTATAAATTGGTACTTTAATAGCGCTTTTAAAGTGCTATTAAATAAGAAATATTTACAATAGTGGCGCGGTTAATATCACTTTTAAGCGCTATCAAAAACAAAAAAAAAGCGCTATTAAATAGCTTATTTGGCGTAGTGATGTTCATACAAAAAAAGATGGATGTCAAAAAATAACAAATTATTAAGAAAAGTTCACACGTGATTTTGAATCAATTTCATTTAGTCGAACAATTATATACATTACTAATGAGAAATGATATTTATACTTTTGTATATCTTGTATAAGGAGTTCCCATAGCATCACTTACAAGCAAAGAATATAAACAAGGCGGTGGTTGTTCAAAAATTCCTAAACAAAGCATAGCGTTTGCTCCACACTTTGCCATAAAATCTGCGCATTGGTTGCTTTCTCTATAAGTATGAGTAAATGAAACTCTCCAATCTCTACAAAGAAGTTCTTCAATAGCCTTTATAATATGAAGATATTTGCAAGTGTGAGATACTGAATGTTGAATCATAGAGAGAGCTTTCGTACAATCTGATCTACAACTCACATCTCTAAAGCCCATGTTCCAAGCAAGGGTTAATCCATTTTGTATTGCTAATAGTTCAACTTCTACGCTGTCGGCGAAACTAACGGGTCCACTAAACCCTATTATCCAAGATCCATTATGATCTCTAATTAGGCCTCCATAACCTGCTCTTCCTGGATTCCCATAAGAACTCCCATCAATATTGAGAGCCACCTGATGCTCGAACGGTGGAGACCAACGAACCAACTGGATCACATAAATTTCATCATAATTAATTTAAGTGAAAACAAAAATTTAGAAGCATATATTAACATTTATGGTCTTGTTTATTAACAAAATTTTAGGAGAGTATATTAACATGTTTGAGAGCCTAAAACTCAAATTTATAAAATATCAACTATTTCTCTAAAATAACTAACTATTTCAAATCTTTCATGTGTGAAACTGATATATTACAAGTGTTGATGTTTTAGGTAAATTGGCTCGATAACTTGTTAAAGTTAATGTCACCATGTAAGACCCTAATCATAAAGTTCATAGTAATTATAATTTTAACTTTTTTATGGATAAGTCTCATCACTACTAACCAATTTTAATGAAAATGTGTTACAATTTATATAAGTTTATTTATTTTCAAAACAAGCAAAAATAATATAGGTCATTTCATATAATAAAATAAAAGTTTGATATTCATATAATTAATATTTAACAATGAGAATGAAAAAAATAAAAAGTTTATTAGGGTAATGCTAACCAAAGTATTGGTTAAGAATCATTAACTACATCATGAAATTAATTATATCATGAATTCATTAGTATTCTTTAGAAAAAATAGATTACTGACAGTGTTATTTAAGGAAAAAATTGAAATTTTCTAAATATAAAATGTATTAAATAATCTTTAATCACACTTTTAAAAAAAATTAAATATAGTTAATTATTGCATTAACTCAAATTAATTTATTCACTCATTTTCTCTTTGGGACATAATTTATAAACGTGAAAATAAATGAAATTTAGAAGTTAAATATTCTAACTTTATTTCAATATTATTATATGAAAACTTGATTTACTATAAACAAGATAAAAAATGCAAAAAACTCATAACAAATTAAAAATAAAATATTACAAAAAAATAAAAATAATAAGTAAAAAATTTAAATAAAAATCCATGTTTAATTTAAATATCAAATATGAATAATATGCAGAAGTAAGAGACATTGAAGTACCACTAAAAATAATAATATGTAACATCTAAATTTCTCTAAAGAATATTAATAAACTCACGATACAATTAATTTCATGAATGGGAGACTCTAACACTATAATAATGAAATAAAATTAACTGCATAAAGAGAAATGAAGAATAGTAAAGAAAATTAACTGCATAAAGAGAAATGAAGAATAGTAAAGAGAAATAAAAAGAAGAAAGCACATAAAAGTTTGACATTTATATAATTAATATTTGATTATGATAATGAAAAAAATAAAATTAATTTAAATAAAAACACTTACCATATTAAATTTAATGATGAAATGAAATTTCTTGAAGATGAGAGAAAGTGAATTTTGCTTCAATAAAGTGTCACAGTAAGATAAGTGACAGTAATCTATTTTATAACATGCCGTTAGGGTTTTATATTTATGATATGAATATTATGAGATATGCATTAACTAATTATATATCATAAATAAATATATTGCGATTTGATTTTAAAATACTCGGAATGTGAAGTATTTAAAAAAGTAACTATAAAATATTTACTACGAATATATAACTGCCTCCTTTATTATTGGTGGCCTAAGAAATAAGTTTTTTTAATATGAAAAAAAACTTTTTTTATTTTATACGTAAGAAACACAGCCAAATACCTAAAAAAAAGGTTTTTACTAAATGAATTGTTTCAATGACTCACTTCAGAAAATTTCAAATTATCTTATGATTATCAGCTTAATAATTTATTAAGAATGTTGAATGTAAAAAAATAAATAAAATAGTAAAATGATAAAAGTTAATGACACTTCGCAACTAACAAAAACAAAACATTTCTTCATTATTTTTAAAACTAAGATTTAACCTTAACAATAAATTTTAACAATTTGCTGATTTTATAAGTCAAAGTATGTCGACATTTTGTTTGTAAATATCCATTATTCATTAGTACCATGACTCTGCATTTTTCATTTACTTGTCTCAATAAATTTAACATATATTCTTCTTAAAAAATAAATAATATTTTACAAAGCATAATGCTATTAGATTTATTTAATTCACAAATTATAAATTGATAGAATCAATTATTTATAAACGATTAATATAAATTATAATTAATTGTTATTAAATAATAGTTATTATTTGATTGATATTTATTTTTGAATGAACCTTCATGTTTGACCCATTTTTGGTAAGCCTAATTAGATGGCTTTGACTTCTGTCATTTAATTATCAGCTATGTTGTTCATACACGAAAGAATGCACTTATACCTTAATCACTGTTTATAGATACGGCATGAATAGTAAAGAGTGTGTAAATAGTGTTTAGGAATAGTAACATGAAATTGATTAATAAATATATAAAAATTAGTTAATATAGTTTATAATTTGATTAATAAATGTTTAGACATTAAAAATAATTTTTAGTTGTTTTAGTATCTCAAAATTTGATCTCTCATTTCTAAATAAATCTCTCATAAGATCTCCATTGATTCAAGACTACACAAAGTTTGATCACCTCAAGACACCTCCTCAACACTGATAACTCAAAAATTAGGGTTTGAATTTTCACAAGGACAATAGGATTTTCAAGACCTCAAATGGCTTTCATGGATCATTAGGAACCCTCAAGATTGCTCATTTCAAGTATCAAGTCTTGAATCATATTTTTGCTCAGTCAGTTGATCAGATGACCTAAAATTAGCTGTATTGAATAAAAAGTTAACTGTGGTCAATTTGAAGTCAAACTTCTTAATTTTTTATCCATATCAACATCACGAACTCATATATGTCAATTGATCAAGTTTGGATCATAATTTCTCAAGAAATTTGATCAGATCATCAAAAGGACAAAATTGACAAAATTAGAATTTTGACTAAGGAGGTTCAATTTTTGACTTTTGACCTAACAAATGACTTATTGGTTCAAGACATGATCTCAAGAATTCAAATGCACCATCTTGACCTAATTGCATAGTTCAAATCATATCTCAAGATTATTGAATTGACAGATGAATTTTAGTCAACTGATGAAAAGTCAACTTTACACTGAAAAGTCAACTTTACACTGAAAA